GGAAGATGGGCACGGATGTTAGCTCAGGGCCAGTCTTCCTCAGCAAAAAGAGGAGGATTGGCATGGATGTTAGCTCAGGGCTGACCTTCCTCACACAAAAAAAATAAAATAAAATAAATAAATAAAAATAAAAAGTCTTGCTTAGTTCCAAATCTTTCCATAGCTCATCTTTTAAAGACACTTAATGAAATTCACAAGTACATGTGCATCCCACTGTTCAAATCCCCCCATCAGAGTCACCCCCATATGCAAAAGGGATAACAGACATTAATGCACTGTGAGAACTCCAGGCCCGCGTGGGCTGGCTCCTCACCAGAAGTGACCTTGTTGAAGGAGATGCTCTCCGATGCGCGGCCGCCCAGGGCCATGCACATCCGCTCAAACAGCTGCTCCTTGGTGAACAGGTGCTGGTCTCTGGGGAGCATCTGAGCGAAGCCCAGTGCAGCGTTTGTCCGCGGCGCGATGGAGACCTGCAGAACGTCAGGTGACCAAAGTTAGAAAGCGAGGTGCAGGCTTTAAAGATGAAGGTGGGGGCAATGGAAGATCTTTAACTGGAAGGTTTCAAAGCAGTTAAGGAAATCTGCACTGTCCCCATTTTTATAACAAAGGACAATCCTGTCACTGAAGGAGGCTCACACTGTGTGCGGGGGTGTCTTCTTCACACATTACTACGTCTATATGAAGTAAAGAACAGAGACAGGGCCTCATAAGTGAGGCCAACCAACAGGTCAGGGACAAACTTCCCGCAGCCTCTATGCACTGCCCTCCATCACCGCCTCCACTGCAGGCCACCGACCTGCACCAACACCCTGCACCAAACCTCGGAGACACTGGCTTGAGGATACAAAGGGGAAGTGGAGACTCTCCTCGCCTTTGCCCCCAGCCCAACACCAGGTATGCACACAGGGCCACCGCTCCAGCGGGATGAGACCTGCTACAGGAGCGATGGGGAGGGGCCTCAGGCAGCAAGGGCTGTGCTGGAGCAGGTGCTGTTTCTGAGGGTTATAGCACCCCAGCATCTGAAGAGGAGACGTAACTTAAAACTAACACTAAAGTCAATCACAGTTGAAAAGGCTGTAAATAATGACCAGATCAGTAACAGGAACTTCACAATCTGTCCCCAGCTGAGTACTGAGCCTTGAGAGGGTGGGGTTTTCTCATTATGACTAGTTTATCTGACTTCTATCCATCCAACGAAGCGAAAATTCTGAGAACAATAGAAAATTGTTAATTATGATATTTACTTCATCATGGATTCTTCTGCATTAATTTTTTTTGAGATACTGCATTAAAATGTCTATCTCAGGGGCCGGCCTGGTGGTGTAGTGGTTAAGTGCACGCGCTCCGCTGTGGTGGCCCAGGGTTTGCAGGTTCGGATCCCGGGTGCGCACTGACACACCGCTTGTCAAGCCATGCTGTGGTGGCATCCCATATAACGTAGAGGAAGATGGGCACGGATGTTAGCCCAGGACCAATCTTCCTCAGCAAAAAGAGGAGGATTGGCATCGGATGTTAGCTCAGGGCTGATCTTCCTCACAAAAAAATATATTTATTTATCTTGATTACTGAATTTTTAGTGTCTCATAAATGGCACACCCTTGGTGGCTGTCCTGCCCGCCTCACCCTGGGCCCGGCCCTGACCACCTCAGTGACTGCGGCATACACTCGTCTTTGTCACAAGATACTAGACTTCCAGCCCTCAGACCAGCATATAAAAGGAACCAGCCTGATCGGCAGGACATCATCAAACACAACCAGACTAACAATCTACTTTGCTATAACTAACACCGCTGAAAAGATAATTAATGGACATGAAACTCTAACATAGCAGACTGGTAATTTCTACACTGTCCCATTTTTGGAGGCTCAGGAAGTACGGTGCAGGTCCTTCACAGCTTGCTGGAACCAAACTGCCTGCACAGGCTCCCACGTGCTCCGCTCCGGGCTCCAGCAGGTCCCCATGGAGGGTGGTTACAACCCACATCCTCAGCTGTAAAGACTGGGCACCCGCATCCCAAATACTTATGTTGTCCTTAATGGTCGCTCAAGATCTCCTGGTCATGAATCTACACATTTTGGAGGAGGTGTTTGTGATATTACCATTTGATACAAATAAATTTTCATCAAGCTCACAAATGTCTACAAGAGCAGTGTTCTAAAAAATGTACTCAAGTGAGTACTAAACTCACTTCTCTTTAAGCCTAGGAGTCATTAAATCAATACACTTTAAAGATTTTATTTATTTTTTTTTATTTTTTCCCCCCAAAGCCCCAGTGGATAGTTGTATGTCGTAGCTGCACATCCCTCTAGTTGCTGTATGTGGGACTCGGCCTCAGGATGAACGGAGAAGCGGTGCCTCGATGCGCACCCGGGATCCGAACCCAGGCCACCAGCATCGCAGCGCGCGCACTTAACCACCAAGCCACAGGGCCGGCCCCAATACACTTTAGAGCTGATAGTAAACTTGGCAATTCTTAATCCCAAGATTGACTGTGTAGACAGGGGAGCGAGCCCCCACATCGTTGTGGCCATGACAGGAGCCCACTGGTTCAGATGTAAGACCTCCTCCTGCCCTATGTTTCCCAGGATCACGGATCCTGCACAGTCACCTCCCACCCTGTCCCCAGGCCCACCTTGGCTGCGCTCTCTTCCCCCAGCACAAACTCGCAGTGCTTCCAAGGTCAGCTCTGTTCAAGGGCCAGTCGGGTTGGGCCTGCCGGACCTACCTTCATCACAGCCTCGGTGTGCTCCAGCAGCCAGCCCACCAGAGCGTGGCCGGACTCATGAAACGCAACCACCTTCTGCTCTTCCTTGGAGAGGATCTTGCTCTTTTTGGCAGTCCCTGAAAGAAGGCCAAGAAGGTGAGTCACGTGCGCCGATCATCCTGGATAAGAGTGCCAGGCACTCTCCTTGGCCGTGTGCGATTTTTACCCCACGTCGTGTGGTCAGAGCAGGGCTGTCAATAGACGTCCACTGCCTGCGTCCCTGCCCCGAGGTGAGCGCCGCTCACATGGGAGTTTGCCAGATCCTTTTATATTTCTACTTGAAGAGTACATCTGCTCTAGGCAAATGTGCAGTATTTTAAACAAAGGAAAAATAAGTCACATTGTAAAGACCTGACTTATACGGGCCTGCCCGGTGGCGCAAGCAGTTAAGTGCACGTGCTCCGCTTTGGCGGCGCAGGGTTTGCAGGTTCGGATCCCGGGCGTGCACCAATGCACCGCTTGTGGAGCCATGCTGTGGCAGCGTCCCATATATAAAGTAGAGGAAGATGGGCACGGATGTTAGCTCAGGGCCAGTCTTCCTCTGCAAAAAAGAGGAGGATCAGCATCGGATGTTATTTCAGGGCTGATCTTCCTCACCAAAAAAAAAAAAAGAAAGACCTGACTTACAAAAATAGAAATGCTTTACATATTTTCTGTCCAATAACTCTTTGCTAATCACTTCCATCACTCGACATCTAAGCCTGACTCGGTTCCCTCCACTCTACCTTCCTCTCAGCATTTAGGGAATGAGCCCTGCAGAGAACTGGGTCCTCATACCAGCGATGACACGCTCCACGGCGTACTCAAAGTTGAAGGTGTGGACGGCCGTGTGCCCTTCTCGTGCGGCGTGCAGCGCGGCCTCGTTACAGATGTTGGCGATGTCAGCACCTGAGGGCACAATGGAGGGTACTGGCTCTCCTCCCTCAGGGCTTGGGAGGAGGGAAGGGAGGGAGTGTGCTTCAGCAGATGGGGGGACCCGCGGGGAGGGGTTCAGGAAGAGACGGCCGTGAGCAGAAGGCCCAGTGCCATCTCATACAACAGACTCCAACCTCCTGCTCACAGCCACTCCCCTCCTTCCATCTGCCTCTCCAGATACCTCAACACCTGAGTATGATCACATCACCTTGTGTTTTATTCCACCTAATGTTTCATACACACATTGATGGAGAAGAAATTAAAGGCTCTCTAGTATCCATAAGATTCTAGGTAAAGACGTTAAAAAAAAATCAAAAGGGAAGAAATTATATCATAATAAAAGGGATTTTTATTTATATTACTCTTTAAAATGAAAGCCACACGGGCTGGCCCGGTGGCGTAGCGGGTTAAGTTCCCACACTCCGTTTCAGTGGCCCGGGGTTCGCAGGTTAGGATCCCGGGCGTAGACTGACGCACTGCTTGTCAAGCCATGCTATGGCGGCGTCCCATTTAAAGTAGAGGAAGATGGGCACAGATGTTAGCCCAGGGCCAATCTTCCTCAGCAAAAAGAGGAGGATTGACCACGCATGTTAGCTCGGGGCTAAATTTTCCTCACAAAAAAAAAAAAGGGCCTGCCCCATGGCTTGGCGGTTAAGTGCGTGCGCTCCGCTACTGGCAGCCCAGGTTCGGATCTCGGACGCGCACCAACGCACCGCTTCTCCAGCCATGCTGAGGCCGCGTCCCACACACAGCAACTAGAGGGATGTGCAACTATGACATACAACTATCTACTGGGGCTTTGGGGAAAAAAAAAGAGAGGAGGAGGATTGGCAATAGATGTTAGCTCAGGGGTGATCTTCCTCACAAAAAAAAAAAAAATGAGAGCCATACAGAAAAAAATGCTGATTTGTGATGTCTGTCTCTACTGAAATAAAACTGAGACCATGAGGGAGGGCAGTGGCACCCCCAGTCGGTGACAAGGCCTCACATGGCAGCACGTGGCGGGGAGCAGCGGGAACGCGTAGTCTGCGCTGGAAAGGAACTGAAGAGCCAGTGTGCAGAGCCCTGAAAGCCAAACCACCTGTTGGGGGACACGGGCATAGTGCAGTCTGAATACAAGCAAGAGACCCACTGTGGGCTTTCCACCACTCAGGGAGGACAAGCAAAGTGCTGTGCAGTTCTTCTAGCTTCTGCCTGCTCTACGTCCACAACCTCCCTCCCACCCAGGCTGTGCTGACCACCAGGCTCAGAGCAGGGGGGACGGATGGCATGTGGGGGAGGCCCGCACCCGACTGTGCAGGAAAGGCCAGCCCACCCTCAGGACCAACAGGAACCAGCTCCCATACCACTGAACCCCGGGGTCAGCTCTGCCAGACGCTGTGAGTAAAAGCTGCTGGCCTGGGTCAGCTTCAGGCTCTTCAGGTGCTGCTCGAAAATCTCCTGCCTTTCCTGCCAGAAACGGGAGAAAAGACACAGGGTGGGCTCAGCCACCTGACACTCCAGGTCTGGACTCGCCTGCCCCGTAGACAAGAGCCACTCAGGAGCACTGGCTTTTCGATTGGTTTCTTTGTCGTCAGTCACAACCCAAGGTTTGTGGAACCAATTTAGAGCTGCAGACAGCATTTCCAAAGTGAAAAGGAAAAAGAGGAAACAGAATGGAGAGTAACACGCATCACATACAGCCAGGTCTTGTCTTGTAGAACTTGTGATTCACGTACTTCCTGCATGTTCCAGACCCCGCTGTCCAGGCTGCCTGCCGTCAGAAAGGAGAGCCCTCCAGAGCAGTGTTGGGGAGCACCTCTCCCTGCTTCTTAGGGAGCCACAGTTGAGAGTCACCCCCAGAATGACTGCTGGGGCATGCCACGAGCCACAGCCCTGCTCCCCACACATGGCTCTACAGGAATGTTAACCAACCAGCTAACTGTTATGGTGACCCTCCAAACCCTTTCCCCTACCCATGCTGGGTCCCTCCCACACCCGTGATCCTCATTACAGCATGCTGGGTCCCTGCTCCCTCAGGCGCCACCACAAAGGCAGGACCACCCAGAGGTGGACGTCCAAGCAGAGGCCTGAGACAGGGGAGGCTGGTGGGGCTGAGCAGTCGCCAGGGCTTCCACCTGCTTCCACCCACTCTCAGGGCAGCTGCACAGCTCGTGCCCCAAAACCGTGCAGCACTCAAGGACTTGAGCAGTCAGGATGGAAGTTCTGCGGCTCTCCAAAGAACGTGCCACAAAACTCAACCCAGACCAGTCCATTCAACCCCAGGCGTTGAAGGATGAAGAGAAAAACATGGGAGATAAAAACAAGCTGCAAAACTATGAGAAGAGCAGTGAGCCCAAGTCTGGACAGACCATAGGGACAGCAGGCTGCGTCTGGGCTGAGGACGGCAGCCCCAAGCCACACTGACCTGCAGCGTGGGAAGGTCAATGAAGACGTGTCTGTCCAGCCGGCCTGGCCTCAGCAGAGCATTATCCAAAATGTCACCTCGGTTGGTGGACGCCAGGACGATGACATGGTCAGTGGTGCCCATTCCTGGGGGGACAGACCGTGGCCGTTAGGGTAGGGGTCCCCAACACAACAGCCTTCCCCACAGGTTCCTCTTTCAGGACACAGGACGGGAGAGATTTCCCACTGGGGTCCTCGAGTGAGGAACACACATATCGTCATTCTGAGCGAGGAGCCATGAACTGACCCAGGACCAATCCTTCCCTGAGAACTTTCCACCAAAATCACCACAAGAGCAAGAACTCTCCTGTTTTATTTCCCCCAGCCCAGCGGTAGAACCACAGATCAGACCTGGTCTCTGTCCAAGGCCATCCTCTACGTCCAGACAGTATCCTGGAGGAACCTGCTTCTTGCCGATGCTAACAGAGGGTGGACCTGGAGGAGCGAGGGGCACTCTCCTCACGCTCCTTCACTGTAATTCCTTGAGCCAAAGTGACCACCATGGGGGCATTTTATCTCTAACACTTGGTCTGAGGGCCTGGGCTATAGGCCCCAGGTTTCTCACACAAGAATTTAAAAGCAAGTCCAGAAACCATCACTGATGGCCCAGGTCTCTGAGTGAACCTGGGCTGGACCCAAATTTGAATAAAGCAACTGCAAGAACCCATCTATGAAGCACGGAGGTGAGCCTAACTGGAGACCAAGATGCTATTAGGACCTATTTTCCACTGAGTGTTATAATGATACGGTGGTATTTCTCTGAGTGTAAAGAAATAAATTCAGAGCCTGTAAGATCCAGAACTTTGGGTCTGCTTTACAATGACCCACGGGAGAGGAGGACCGGACAGAGTGTGGGTGGTCCAGGACTGCCAGCTCCTGCCAGGCACTGAGGCTGGCCTGGGACACGGCGCTCGCCGCACATCTCTCTGCTTTTGTGGATGTTTGAAAAGTTCCATGATACAAAGTTTAAAAAGTAAAGATACCATGATCTATCCTTTGCTAACTTAAAAAATCCCTAATAAATTGACATTGACAAATACAATCTGAAACCCCCATAAAGTCTCTTAACAAAAGTGAAATTTAGAAGAAATATTATAGAATTAAGCCCTGAGAGTGTGTCAGATGCTGCGACCTCACAGCAGACTGTCGTTAACTCCCCTCTAGGATCCCACGACAGCGGCTTCCTTCCTCTTGGGCCTGGGCCTCTGCAGCCTCTGTGCTGTTCATATGGACTACAGGTGCAGACTTCCTGGGGCTGGACCCTTTTGTTTTTGAAACTTTGGATTCTGACATAGATACATAGCATACAAGTTGCAAAAACAGCAGAGCGAGTCCCCTTGACCCAGTTTCCTGCGGTTGCATGTTAAGTTAACGAAGGTGCGGTGTCACACTGCGCAGCCCACAGGCCTTAGTGGGCGTCCCCCATCCCACAGGCACTCCCTCTTCTGTGTGTGCTGAGTTCTCTGCAATCTGATCACACACAGATCCGTGTAGCCTCCACCTCAGTCAAGACAGATTCCACCACCACACCACAAGACCTCCTTTACAGTCACACCCTCTCCCCCTCCGCCCTTCTAACCCTGGTAACCATGAATCTGTTCTCCATCTCTAGAATTTGGTCATTTTGACAATCTCATATAAACCGAATCATACAACACACAGACTCTTGAGGTCAGCTTTCTTCTCTCAGCGTAATTCCTTGAGATCCATCTAAGCAGCCACGTGTAAGAACAGTTTGTTTCCTTTTATTGCTGCATGGTCCACCACGGTGAGGACATATCGCAGTTTACACACCCGCTGAAGGACATCTAGGTTCTTTCCTGTTTTCAGCTATTACAAATAAATGAACGCTGGAGCACAGGTGTTTTGTGTAAACATTTCTTTGAGATAAGCGCCCAGGAGTGTGAATACTGGGTCACGTGGTAAGTATATGTTTAGTTTTTTCAGAAACTGCCAAACTGTTTCCCAGACAGGCAGCACCATTTCACATCCCCACCACAACGTGTCAGGTCCACACCTCCCCAACAGCTTCAGGAATATGTTTCTGCAGTTGCTTTATTCCAGGTCCACCCACAGATCGGGGTCCTCCCCTGCACTTCGTGTGGCCACTGTTTGTTTTTCTAGCTATCCTAGTAGGTGTGCATTCCAATCAAAACCTCAGTAAGACTTTTTGGTAGATACGGACAAACCTATTCTAAAAATCATATGAAAAGGCAAAGGAAGGAGCTACAACAATGCTAGTCAAGAAGAACAAAGTGGGGGGCCGGCCTGGTGGCACAAGTGGTTAAGTGCACACGCTCCGCTGCGGCGGCAAGGGGATTGCCAGTTCGGATCCTGGGTGTGCACTGACGCACCACTTGGCAAGCCATGCTGTGGCAGGCATCCCATAGAAAGTGGAGGAAGACGGGCACGGATGTTAGCCCAGGGCCAGTCTTCCTCAGCAAAAAAAAAAAAAAAAGGGGGGGAAGACGGGCCGGGGTGTTACCCCCGGGCCCGTTTTCCCCCAAAAAAAAAAAAAGGGGGGATTGGGAAGATTTTGCCCAGGGGTCATCCCCCCCCAAAAAAAAAAAAAAGAACAAAGTGGGAGGAATCACGCCACCTTCTTTCAAGACTTATGCACAGCTACATGGCAGACACCGTGTGGTGTGGTGGTCAGATTGACTCGCAGACCACCAGCAGACCAGAGAGCCCAGAAATAGACTCTGCCAAATATGCCCAGCTAAGCTCTGATAAAGGGGCACAAGCTATCCAGTGGAGGAAGCTCAGTGTTTCCAAAAGACGGTACTGGAGCGATTGGACATCTACAGGCAAGAAGATAAACCGCGACCAAAACCTCATACCTACATAAAAATCAACTAAAAATGGGTCACAGCTTAAAATGGAAGTGGCCGTGTAAATGGTAGCTGGGGTTTCTAATGACTCCATGTGGAATCAGAGTTCATGTCCCCCATATTCTTTCTAACACAGAAGCTCTGATGGAGATGTTGGAGTACAAAGCCCTTTCTGCTGATCAAACTGTAAAAAGATGACTGTCGATGGGTAACTCAGCTGGGCTGAACCCAGCGCTCTTGGACACAGGTGCCCTGCCCATCTGGTCTGGCCATCCTGCAGGGCGGCCCCTGCCTGACCCATGAGCTGAGAATTTCTTTTCCTTGGCGAGCTTTTCCCACAACCGCACAGCGTCTGCTGCGTGCTCCGTACTTCAATGAACAGACACTGCTCTTCCCCAAGGAGTGACAAAGACCCCTCAGACATATCTGGAGGGCTGAGAATGCTCAGCTGTGTCCGCGCACAGAGGGACTTGTTAGCTGCTGGCCCAGCCCAACAAAAGGGCTTCCATCAGGGATTCTCGGGCAAGAGCAAATCCTGGGGCGGAAGCAGCTCTTTCATGGCAGCACAGAGAGGCTGAGCTCAGAGGAAGAGGCCGCCTGGTAAATGCTTCCTGGTGGGCTCAAGTCTGCCCAAAAAAAGTGGTCTCTGTCTTCAAGTGCAAAAAGCAATATAAGCAGAAAGAGATGTGCTACTTCTCGTGGCCTTGAGCGCTCAGTTACAGAGAGCCACATGGGAGGCTCCACACTGAGGCTCCCTTCATACGCAAGTCACAGAATCACAGGTGAGGTCATGCACTTTAACCTCATTTTACACATCAGAAAACCCAGCTCAGAGAACAGGGACCAGCATGAACCCACTCGTCCTTCCACAAGCCCACGAGCATGACTGAGGTCCAGCACACAGATGGGTGTCTGCAAGAGCCGAAGGACAAACGTAAACATCGCTACACCTTCAAGAGCAGTGGAACTTGAGGATGCATCACGTCTGGATGGCCACCTAGTCATCTGATGACTTTCAAGACTGTTCTCCTTCTGTCCACTCCTTTTTTGTTTTTTTTTTTTGCTGGGAAAGATTTGCTCTGAGCTAACATCTATTGCCAATCTGCCTTTTTTGTGTTTTTTTCTCCCCAAAGCCCCAGTACATAGTTGTATATTCTAGTTGTAAGTGCTTCTAGTTCTTCTATGTGAGCTGCCACCACAGCATGGCTACTGACGGACGGTGGTGTGGTTCCGCAACTGGGAACTGAACCTAGGCTGCTGAACTTTAATTGCTAGGCCATCAGGGCTGGCTCCCTTTGTCCTCTCAACATCACAAAGGTTATTCTCTTTTTTAAAGAGACAACTAGAGCCAGCCCCGTGGCTTAGCAGTTAAGTGCTCGCTCCACTACCGGCGGCCCGGGTTCAAATCCCAGGCGCACACCGACGCACTGCTTCTCCGGCCATGCTGAGGCTGCGTCCCACATACAGCAACTAGAAGGATGTGCAACTGTGACATACAACTATCTACTGGGGCTTTGGGGGGAAAAAAAAAAGGAGGAGGATTGGCAATAGATGTTAGCTCAGAGCCGGTCTTCCTCAGCAAAAAGAGGATTAGCATGGATTTAGCTCAGGGCTGATCTTCCTCACAAAAAAAAAAAAGAGGGAGAGACGACCAGAAGCTATCGTTACAATCTGGCACTTCTTTTTTTTTTTTTTTTTCTGTGAGGAAGATCAACCCTGAGCTAACTTCCGACGCCAATCCTCCCCCTTTTGCCAAGGAAGACTGGCCCTGGGCTAACATCTGTGCCCATCTTCCTCTACTTCTTACATGGGACGCCACCACAGCACGGCCTGATGAGCAGTGCATTGGTGCGTGCCCGGGATCCGAACCTGCGAACCCCAGGCCACTGAAGTGGAGCGTGCACACTTAACTGCTACGCCACCGGGCCAGCCCCACAACCTGGCACTTCTGAGAGCAGAGACTCATCACATGTATAGCACTGGATTACAGCTGCCAGACAGACCTCCAGCTCCACTTGCTGCAGGCCAGCCCATCATGGCCATCCACCTGCCAAACCCTCAATGGTCACAAAACCCTGTGGCCAGAACCCAAAGGGACTTCCAGATTTCTTCAGGACTCCAAAATCACCTCCGGAAGCAATCGCCAAAGCCACACTGAAGGTGACACACCGCTAAGAGGTCATGTAAAGCCATTCAAAAGAGAAGCAACGTGATGTGGTTTCTTAAAAGTTGGAGACTTCAGAGGCCAGCCTGATGGCGTAGTGGTTAAGTTCAGCTCACTGTGCTTCGGCGGCCCAGGTTCATGGTTTCGGATCTCAGGCAGAGACCTACACCACTCATCAAGCCATGCTGTGACAGCAACCCACATACAAAAGAGAGAAAAGATTGGCACAGATGTTAGCTCAGAACCAATCTTCCTCAAGCAAAAAGAGGAAGACTGGCAACAGATGTTAGCTCAGGGTCAATCTTACTCACACACACACAAAAAAAAGTTGGAGATTTTAAAAGATAGCTTTTTAAACTACAAAATAGCACACTGCTTGAAAAGCAGATCTAGCTCATCAGAGCCCAGGCACTCAGTAGAGGGAGCATCAGAGCCAGGTCTAGCACGCACGCCCCCAGAAGAGGGGTATGAGGTCCTGGTCCCTGGGACCTGGCCTATAGAGTACACTTAAGAGGGTCCTCATCTCTGAGGGTGTCTCCTGAAAGCTACATCTCAGAATCTGAGCCCCACTCCATTCATGTTTCCAAAGACACTGAGTTCTTTGGAAATGTACTTCCCAGGAAGGCTTGCTCTTCATGTGGAAGGTGGCCCTTCAGATCCTAATTGCTTGTGCCATAAGCAGTCCCTGAGCAAATGTTTATGGCCCACTGGATGAGGGAGAGACAGAACAGAGGAGGTCTGCGGGGGCAGCTCCAGACATAAACCACTCTTCTCATGACGCAACGATGCAGCCCTTCCCTTGGTTCCGTTAGAAATTACACTCTGAGGGGCCGGCCCCATGGCGTAGCGATTAAGTGCGCAAGCTCCGCTGCTGGCGGCCCAGGTTCGGATCCCGGGTGCGCACCAACGCACTCCTTGTCAGGCCATGCTGTGGCGGCGTCCCACATAAAGTAGAGGAAGATGGGCACGGATGTTAGCTCAGGGCCGGTCTTCCTCAGCAAAAGGAGGAGGATAAGCATGGATGTTAGCTCAGGGCTGATCTTCCTCACAAAAGAAAAAAAATAAAGAAAGAAAGAAATTACACTCTGATTTTAAACCGTGAGCTTTCAGAGCTTACAGAATGCTTCCAGTGCACCAGTCCACCTGACCTGCACAACAGTGCGCGAGGAAAGGCCTCGCCATGCCGCCTGCAGCCATCTCAGTCCAAATCCCAGCACAGGGACGAGATGCGTCGATGCCACGTGTGGAGGGGCACTGAGACTGCTGGGCTGTTCCCGCCAAAAATGCACAGCTCGAACTGACTCTCAGGAACAGCACAGCCTCACGGTAGGGACCTCCTGTCACAGGTCACAAAAGTGTCACAAAGACAAAGACACAGAAACAGTGCCAGCTGGAGGAGACCAAGGAGACAGAATAATTAAATGCGACCTGTGAGGCTGGACTGGATCCTGGACCAAAAAAGGCAGAGCCACGGGATGAGAGACTCCACGTGGATGCTCACGTCCTGGTCGTGTCCACATTGTCCTTTGGGAAGCTTAGGGGAAGGTATAAAGGAACACTTTGATTGCTTTTGCAACACTTTTGTAAGTCTTAAATCATTTTAAAAGGAAAGGTTAAAAAAATTTCGCCTTTAGTCATGTACAGTCAAACTCTACTGTCCATATGTGGCCAACAGGTACACCATCCCAAATGGCAGGAACACTTTGAAAAGGAAAATAAATACACAAATAACAGCTCTCTTAGAACCAAAAATACTCGAGAAAAAAGTGTCTCCCTCATCTACAATACCTAAAATAGAAGTAGAATACTGATTAAAGAAAAGTTAAAAACAGATCTTACACAGCAGGGTCTTGAAGAGGCATCTGTATGCCCATTTTCACAGCAGCATTATTCGCAGTAGCCAAAAGTGTCCATCAGCAGATGAATGGATAAACAACACGTGGTCCATCCACACAATGGAACATTATTCAGCCTTAAAGAGGAAGGAAATTCTGACCCACGCTACAACATGGATGAACATTGAGGACATTATGCTGAGTGAAATAAAACAGATACGAAAGGACAAACACTGTATGATTCCACTTATATGAGAGACCAAGAGGAGTCAAAATTCATAGACAAAAAAAGTAGGATGGTGGGTGCCAGGGGCTGGGGGAGGAGGATGAGGAGTTACTATTTAACGGGGACAGAAGGGCCGGCCCGGTGGTGCAAGCGGTTAAGTGCGTGCGCTCCGCTGCGGCGGACCGGGATTCGCCGGTTCGGATCCCGGGCGCACACGGACACACCGCTTGGCAAGCCATGCTATGGTGGCGAAAAAAAAAAAAAAAAGAGGAGGATTGGCAGATGTTAGCTCAGGGCCGATCCTCCTCACAAAAAAAAAAAAATGGGCACAGAGTTTTGGTTTGGGAAGATGACAAAGTTCTGCAGATGGATGGTGGGGATGGCTGCACAACAATGTGAATGTACTTAATGCCACTGTAGGGTATACTTAAAAATAGTTAAAATTTTATCTTATATATATTTTACCACAATAAAAAAAAACATACAATATCTACACCAAAAAAAAGAGGATCTTACAAAAGTAACTCAGAAGAAAAACAATTCCATGTCACCTTTGCTGGATCATTTCCATTAAAAAGAAAAAGAGACTGTGAAGAAGCCAGTCAGAGGTCGTGTTCAAGGGCAGCAAACACAGCACCTCCTCAGGGCCCCCGACGCCTCAGCTGCATTCCACAGACATCCTGCTCCATCCGGCCTCCAGCCAACCAGGCGGCACAGAGATGCACAACAGCACAATCAACTGGTTCGTCCAGACCGGAACTCCCCATCACAACATGACCGCCACCTGTATTCCCAGTTTTTTGCCTTTTTCTTTTTTCACTATTGTCTTAACTTTTTAAAATTAAAAGCTGTGTTTCTTGAGTGCAGCAAGATGCTGACCGCTTCTTAAACTGGCCTTGTTTCTATTTCTTACCTGCTAGAGAACAGTTCTCTTGTGTTCTGACATCACCCTCACCTGTGGCAGGTGGTGTGGAGAAACAATACAGACCACTGACTGGAGGAAAATAAAATGCCTATGAGCATTAGTGCAAGGTTGTGGAACAATAAACACAAGCAGTGTGATCCACCTAGAAAACGACTGTTCTGAAAGAGATCAGACGCCCTTCCTGGCACAGGAGCAGCTGGGGGCGCGGGCACTCACCATCCATTTCCACCAGAAGCTGGTTAAGCGTCTGCTCCTCCTCTGTGTTGGAGAAGCCGGACATGGTGGTGGAGCGCTTCTTGCCCACAGCATCGATCTCGTCAATGTACACGATGCAGGGGGCCCGGGCACGGGCTTCCTTGAAGAGGCTCCGCACACGGGCAGCACCGAGGCCTGAGGGGACACAGAGGACCAGGAAGTGGACAGGTAATGGGAGATGAACCCTACGCTTATGCCAGGGGCCAGAGCTGACCACTGAGGGTGACAAAATCTCAGCAAGTGTCCTCTCATGCAAACAAGGCCAGGCACCCCATCCCAGCAGAGGTCACCCTGGCAGATGTTCACCCTCCTGGACTCCCCAGGCCACAAGTGGAAGTGGCTTCAAAGAACATCATCACCCAATTCTCTACATCAACACAATGTTTCCTGTAACACTGGTTCTATTTTTCCTTCTCCATTCCCCCATTTCCTTGTCAGTTCAGCCACCTGAGGAAGGACGTGTGAAAGGAGAGCCATCCTGGACAAATGGTCAGGTGAGCCTGTCCGCAGGCCCCAAGCAATGCCTACCTCCAATGACCTCCACGAACTCCGGGCCGGCCATCGCCAAGAAGGGCACCTGGGCCTCAGTGGCCACTGCCTTGGCCAGCAGCGTCTTCCCACAGCCGGGTGGGCCAAGCAGCAGTGCACCCTTCGGGACCTTGGCACCCAGCTGAAGGAAGCGCTCTGGGCTCTAGAAAAGCAGCAGATAATGTGACACTAACCACAGGTGATTCAGACAGAATTTTCAAAAAATGACTCACATGAAGGTCAGCTCATGTATTGTCATGAGTCAGCTCCGGTTCAGGCGGTTCTGGGAGAAGCAGAGAGCTCTGGTGGTGACCAGGCAGCTCAGGGTGCAATCTCTAATACACTACTGGCCTTTCGGCTGCTTAACGACCATGCGTTTCACCCACGTTGCCGTTTAACAGGCACCAGCACGTGTAGGACACTCATGGCCCCATCTGCGCTCAGGGAGCTCACCACTCAGGACACAACGTCTGACCAGTACGGCTCTTCCCTCGGGAGAGCATTCCGTCAGCCTCCTGCTCAACATGTGTGTTCACCTTCAGATAATCCACAAACTCCTTGACTTCCAGTTTGGCTTCATGCATCCCTGCCACGTCTTTAAAGCTGACTCCTTTCCCCGTCTTGCCATCCACAATCGTGAAACGAGCCATTTTAAGCTGATTCTGGGCACAAAGAACAAAGGGCAGGGCACTGTGCACTCCTAGCAGAGCAGGGAAGATGAGAGCTCGGTGCTGGCTCTGCCAGCACACCCCTGTGTGCCCACCCACCTCGGCCCGAGGGTCTGATGGACCCTCCTCCCTCCGCCCCGAAGTACCAGCCCACGCCCTCTCCACTCAGACAGACAGACGGAGATTAAGGTCACCTTCCAGACATATAAGGGGAAATGTTTATTTTACATTATTAAACAGTAGGAAAGCTGTCTAGCATCTAGCAATTTGCCTTAAAAGAAAAAACAAAAAACTCCCCACTACAACCTAGGTAATATAATAAAGTCTTTTGCATAAACTATCTTATTTTTCCATATGATTTTTCCCACTACTGTGTAATTTCTTTTTCTTTTTTTTTTTGTGAGGAAGAGCAGCCCTGAGCTAACATCTGCCAATCTTCCTCTTTTTGCTGAGGAAGACTGGCCCTGGGCTAACATCCGTGCCCATCTTTCTCCACTTTATATGGGACGCCACCACAGCACGGCTTAACAAGTGGTGCATTGGTGCGCGCCCGGGATCCGAACCCCGGGCCGCTGCAGCAGAGCACGGGCACTTAACCACTATACCACCGGGCAGGCCCCATAATTTCTTTTCCTGATTATAAAAGTAACATACTAACACTCAGCTCTGGGGAGTCTTGGTAGCAATGTCAATTGGTAAATTTCTGGACAGCGATCAGGCCAGAGAGATCAAGCTCTTCCTGAGGCACTAAGCTGCACCCAGGCTCTACTTCTAGGAAGGCACACGCCAGGCAAATAATTAGGCACTCAGAAGACATGTGCATGGAATCCACCACAGTATTATTTAAATACAACAACAAAAATAAACAGCCCAAAATAGGCAAGAATTATCAAATTGGTTGAGTGAAATATGATATAGCCTCACAATGAGACCCAGGGCTACCATTAAAAGTAAGGTGTGAGTCTTTAGCTACAGACACAGGAAGACGTTCCTAGTCTATGTGGACACAACTAGCTGACATTCTGCGTCCCTGCCTTGTCACAGATCCCAGGGAAGGGACCATGAGGTGACCGGGCCTCAGGCCCACCTCCCCAGTCCCTCTGCTGATGTGGCTAATTGGCCACAGACAACCTGATGGGGAGGGAAAGTGCATGTTATAATCCATGCAACAACAATAGGAGAATATTTTTAAAGTGTATTAAAGTTGTCCTTTTAAAGACAACCTTTAAAAATTTCTCAGCATCTTAGCTAGTAGGGGAAACGAAAAAGAAGTAATGCCCAGTTGACATCAAAAACGGCAGAATATGGGCCAGCCCTGTGTCTTGGCGGTTGGGTGCACGCGCTCTGCTGCTGGCGGCCCAGGTTCGGAGCCCAGGCGCGCACCGACGCACTGCTTCTCCGGCCATGCTGGGGCCGCGTCCCACACGCAGCAGCTGGAAGGATGTGCAACTATGACGTGCAGCTATCTACTGGGGCTTTAGGGAAAACAAGGAGGAAGACTGGCAATAGATGTTGGCTCAGAGCCGGTCTTCCTCAGCAAAAAGAGAGGAGGATTGGCATGGATGTTGGCTCAGGGCTGATCTTCCTCACACACACACAAAAAAATGCAGGATAGGGCCAGCCCCAGTGACCTAGTGGTTAAGTTCGGCATGCTCCGCTTTGGCGGCCCAGGTTCGGTTCCTGGGCATGGACCTATACCACTCGTCTGTCAGTGGCCATGCCATGGCAATGGCTCACATATAAAAAGAGGAAGACTGGCAGCGGATGTTAGCTCATGGCGAATCTTCTTCAGCAAAAAAAAAAGAAAGAAAACTGCAGAATAAACTGTCCTATAGATGCCCCTGGCTCAGCCTCCCACAAGTCAGGGAAAGGGGGGCCTCAGGTAGAGCTGGTTACTGGACACCCTGTAATCAGCCAAGCAGAAGGAAAGGAGAGCTACCCAACTATGGCTCCAGGCTGGCCATTGCAACAGGTTCATTTTCACTGTGTGCTTATTCTGCAGTCTGGGGGAAAGCGTTCAGCAAGCACGCACAGACAAATCCTCAGATGGAAGTGCAGCGAGATATGATTTGTACAACTTACGAAAGCGCTGAATCCTCCTTCCCTTCCCGTCATTCCAGCCAGACGGAAAACATACCACAGGATGGCCAGGCCCACTGCTGTCATCCCCAAGGCGTAGAGGGCGCTAGCGAGAGAGGGGGAGACGGGAGAGGGGAGAGGGGGAGAGGGAAGAGGGTGAGAGGGGAGAGAGGGAGT